GACATATCTGACTCCTGTGACCTTGAAAGTAAGTCAAGGTCATTTTCGTTTTCAAACTTTGTCGGGCCCTATCCCAGGAAGCCACCTGCCAAATATAAAGATTCTATACCTTTCAGTTCTTCAGAAGAAGTCGTTTGAAGTGTTTGACACGTTTGACCCCTGTGACCTTGAAAGAAGGTCAAGGTCATTTTCATCCTCAAACTTTGTCAGGCTCTATCCCAGGAAGCCACCAGCCAAATATAAAGATTCTATGCCTTTCAGTTCTTCAGAAGAAGTTGTTTGAAGTTTTTGACATATTTGACTCCTGTGACCTTGAAAGTAGGTCAAAGTCATTTTAGTTCTCAAACTTTGTCAGGCTCCTACCAACAAAGCTTTCAGCCAAATATCATGACTCTAGGCCTGTCCATTCTTCAGAAGAAGTTGTTTAAAGGAAAAGTTGACCGATGAGGATGGACGACGGATGCCGCACCATGACATAAGCTCACTTGAAGGTGAGCTAATAAATGCATATCGTACCTGGAACTCGCCAATCTTCTGACCAAACTGTTTACGTTGGTGTGCATAGTCAAAGGCCACGTCACAGCATGCCTGCATGATCCTGGAAACAGTGAATATAATCAGTTATACTTAAACAATAACTGGTTGCCTAGATGTAATTATTGTTGATATAATTACAAGTGGCCTCTGGCGGGTTTTATGGTAGATTTGCCAGAGGCCACTTGTAATTATATCAACAATAATTACATCCAGACAACCAGGTATTTTTTATATTTACATATTTTTCTTTTTTAAGACATATTCCTACAAAAACCATTTACCCTGCCTCAAAATACATTTCAGGCGGCCATTTTGTTTGTTTACATATTCCTACACCTGAAACAGGCAGTTGTAATTATAGTCGAGCAGTTGTAATTATAGCCTATATAATTACACTTGCCCTCTAACACTGTTGTAATGGGACGGCGCGGGGGCAAATGTAAATATAAAGATATAAATACAGATCTATAATCTTCATAGTTTATGCATCACTTTTAAAGTTACGTGATCCCCTACTGTGATATGCCTTCAAATTCCATGGTGAGGTTTTTGTAATACAAAAGTATATAGTTCTGATGCTGTCATCAAACCTATTTAACATCGAGCTGGGTCTACTACCAGTGGTAGATAATTGTATCGGTATTTCTGTGAGTATGTAGGTTTGGAAGGGAAGTTGGCAGTGTCATTTGAAGCTGTGTATGTAATTGGAAAGGAATTCAGAAATGTGCAGCTCTTACCTAACTCTTTGGACCAACCACAGAATTTCATATATCACCATTTCACAGACATACCTCTACCATGACTTCATTATTTTGCTTGAACAATCGTGGACATCACTTTACCAGGTTTGTTGTTGAATGTTGCTGACACATCATTTTGTACCTTACATTTATTTTGAAATATGAATTATCATTTCTCTGACAGCCATCTGGTGTGTTGAAATCTAAGATTAAATATTTTGTGATTTTCTGATTGATTTAATCGAACACCTAGGTAACTATTAGATAAGTTGTTAAGGTGATAATTGTTTGGCTTATGTTCCAAAGACATCCTAAAATATCTGACAATATGTACACTGTATGGAATAGCCAGAAAATCATGTTCTTTCTTAGAGTGACTTTGTATTTCTGTGGTAGACAATGCGATCACCTTACTGAAAAGAATTTAAGACAAGTTAAAAAGAACAATTAAAAATCTTTCTATAAACTTTACAGAAAGCTAAGTTCAACAAGACAATTTGTCTTTTAGAGCAAAACTAATTCTTAATGTAGAGTTAAAGCAAGAAATGGATTACTGCCAAGTTTAAGCATTAGGTTCCTACATGTAACTAACAACACTGGTGAGCTAGTAGATACCCCAGGTCACGCTGACTTACCCGAGGGGACCAGCAGCCAATACCAGTCTCTCAATGTCCAGCCCACTCATCAATACATACACGCCTCGGTTCTTTTCTGCTAATATATTCCCAGCTGTACAAAAGTCCACATAGTTCATTGTTACTGTTATGCATAATACTGAGGTCGTACTCTGATTCCCAAGGCTTTTATCAAACTTGGCATGGAAAAGCATGCTCGTGTTACCAAACACAGTTTGTTGTGTTTTCATCAGAAGTGAAGTATCAAACCATGAAAACCAAATCATTTTGGACATAAAACAACCAAGCAGGCATGGTATGTTTTTTCTTGAAGGAAACACAAAAACTCTACACTTGCATTGTTGTGGCTGCAGTGTTGCACAATTGTTGACTATGGAATCACAGCTTTGACAGGAATATTACCAGGATGGAGGTGTGTGTGTATGCATGGAAGGCTTGGATAACTATCTAGTGGCTATGTGCAGTGCATCGATCCTTTATCTACCCCAACACCCCATGAGACAGCGTTTGTTACTGTTGGATGATTTGAATGGTAAGTATACAGGTGTCAACAAACAAAATGACAGGAGTAAACATTAATTGTTGACCAGTAACAGTTTTTACACATTCAAAATTTTCCCACACAACCAACCAAAGATTGTCAGCTAAAGAAAGTATTACCTGATGGTATGTTCTTATTCTTTATCATATATTTAGTTAATTTGGATATTCTCGTATTTTCTATCTGATATCACGATATCACAGACTATCCCCTGCTGATATCACAGACTATCCTCTGCTGATATCACAGACTATCCCCTGCTGATATCACGATAACACAGACTATTTCCTGCTGATATCACAGACTATCCTCTGCTGATATCACAGACTATCATCTGCTGATATCACAGACTATCCTCTGCTGATATCAAAGACTATCCCCTGCTGATATCACAGACTATCCCCTGCTGATATCACGATAACACAGACTATTCCCTGCTGATATCACAGACTATCCCCTGCTGATATCACAGACTATCCCCTGCTGATATCACAGACTATCCTCTGCTGATATCACAGACTATCCTCTGCTGATATCACATATCACAGACTATCCCCTGCTGATATCACGATATCACAGACTATTCCCTGCTGATATCTGATATTACAGACTATCCCCTGCTTTATCGATTGATACTGACCTCTAGTTCATTGTGATTGTTACAAACATCAAATGCAAAGCGACAAAACTGGTAATAAAACACTTAATTCATGCTTGAGTTGGCAATAATTTGAAATGTTTTCCACTTGATGTTTTGACCAATCTTTGTCTTTAGATTATCCGAAAGTACTTTTGCCTGAAGCTGAAGGTTGGTTCAAATACCTTGTGCTAAATTCTTCAAACTATTGCTTTTACAAGCATGAAGTACACTGCATCTTAATTTTATATAACTAGCCATAATCTGTCAACAAAATAGAGGGGATAAGGCCATAGGAGGTTTATATAAGCCTTGGAATGATTATACAGATTTTAAAGGGTGTACTAGCTGGGATGATTTTAAAGGGTGTACTAGCTGGGATGATTTTGAAGGGACTGTACTAGATGAGGAGATTTCAACATGTTTATATCAAAGCTGAAACACTATGTATACCTCACAATACAATACATATCGCAGTATGGTGTTTACAACATGTTTATATCATAATGATTGAATACAGGAGTTTGTTCATGGTCTTAAAGAGCATATACCCGGTCCTACAAAATATATTTTTGTATGATTTCTAGTACTTTTGGGTATGGCTGCACAGTGGACCATATCTTTACTGAAGGATTCCAAAACAATAAAAACAAAAACTGATTGATAATTTCAGTACTGTTAGTGTATCCTGATCATACAGGTTAACAAAACAATTTGATACAATACACAAGAAAGTATCACAATACTATACAGTTTGATAGATTGTTTCAGCCCTGATTTATATACAGGTTCCCTAACTCATGGTGGTAGATTCTCATACTTTATTTGACTAATGATCATTTATTTTTAACAAACAAAAGGTTTACCGACGTAACAAATATTGTGTTTAGACATTTGATTCACAATCACACATCCAACTCAAAATGTCACTGTCAAACTTAAACGAATGAAAATGCAACATTTTAATATCTATGACTGGTGTTTACTACACAGGCTAGGATTTGTGACACTGGTTATGGTAGATAACGTATACAAATATACTTTATACTATTAACCATACAACCAAATCTGAATAAATAGTAATGGGAGTCAAATTGAAAGGAGTACCCCTTGTTTCGGTTTTTATATTTCATTCTGTTAGACTTTTGTGTTCATTTTAACTTGACATGAATACTATATTCCTTATAAAAGGGGAAAATAATCAGGCAATTCCTCGAACAATGTCATGTGAATTTTTACTAAACCTCACCCCAATGTTCCACCTGCCACAAAAACTCTCTCTATATCCAGGCCAGACATCAATACATACACACCTCCATTTTCAGGGCCCAAAATGTTTTCAGCTGAAAATTTCAAAGCCCAAGAAAGAAAGGCCTTCTTCCGATACAAATATAGCATACAGTAAATTACTTTTGTTTCCGAAGTTGAAATATTTAAGCTGTATGTTATAACCTTGACTAATATAGCGTGTCTTACTTTGTTGATTTGGGCAACAGGCAGTTTAGGAGAGAAAAGTAGAGGTGTGTACACATTATTACAGGCTCAATATGATAAATGTTTAAATATGATCTAATAATATGAAACATACAAAAGCATTCATGATGGTCAGTGAAAAGAGTTACAATTAGTCTAAAATACATGTATGATCTTAGTGTGAAGATATATGATCATGAAATGACCCAATCTGTTGTCTGAACTTTAAATGAAAGATTCTCACCCCAAACAACCAGAAGCACCGAGTCCACGCTCTACATCCAAGCCCGACATTAATACATAAACACCTCTGTTTTTCTCTCCTAGAATATTTTCAGCTGAAATTATTGAAAGTGTTTGGTATTTTAAAATCAGATCACTTAATTACAGTATTTTTCAATAATTCACAAAAGTTGCTTTGGACAGTGTAGCTTTGGTAACAATTTTGTATTCCCTGTATATTTCTAAGCTTTTGTCAACTGAAATCCAAACGTTAACAAGAGGCCCAATGGGCCTGCATCGCTCACCTGGTATTAATTTCACACTTGTAATCTTAAAAGTGGACTAAAATACAGCAACAGGCAGAATATCAGTGTTTGATTCATAAGAACCTATTAAAATATTTAAACATATGACGCATGTGACCTTGAATGTCGAACAAGGACTTTCGGTTGAAAGTAGGTCAAGAACATTCATTTGAGCAAACTTGGTAGCCCTTCATCCCAGCATGCCACAGGCCCAATTTCAGTATCCTGGGCCGTTTAGTTATTGAGAAGTGAATGGAAGATTTTACGACATTTTACCCCTGTGACCTTGAAAGTTGGTCAATGTCATTCATTTGAACAAACTTGGCAGTCCTTTGTCCCAGCATGCTACAGGCCCAATATCAGTACCCTGGACCTTTTGGTTATTGAGGAGAAGTCGTTTGAAGATTTAAAGACATTTTACCCCTGTGATCTTGAAAGTGGGTCAAGGTCATTCATTTGAACAAACTTGGTAGCCCTTTATCCCAGCATGCTACTGGCCAAATAGCATCAGCCTTCGGCATCAAAGTTTGAAGAGAATAAAAAATAATGTGCATTTTATTTCCTGTTTTACACAATCCTGCACAAAACTTATTACAATTTAAAAATTCTTGATCTCAACCAAATCTAATCAAACCATCTGTAAATCAATTTACTTTATGGCTATTAGCCTTCGTGGGTACTGACCATATTCATAAATGCAGGTCATAGATGAACCAGAATTATGTATTGAAGTGTTTGATATTTGTATGCTACATAATGAGATGTGTAGCCATCATCTGGTTACAATGTGTCAACATCTTAAATATTGAACCAATCTTTAAATAATCTATAGCACTGGAGAGATATCATCAGTTTGGTTGATATTGAAAAATGTAAACTTCAAACAGTAAACACATATATAGGTAAGATTGATCTGACATTGCTTCCTGACTATACATATGATAACTATATTACTTTAACTATAACTTTTACAGCCTGACTATGTTTCATAGATAAATATGACTTTACCTTTTACACCACGATTATATGTGTTTATGCTGTGACTAGGAAATTATTAAGGAATTAGTTCTGAAAACGTAAAACACATTGCATTGATTCCATAATTTGTTTACAGTATTTGGTACAGCAATGTTTGTTTTCTCCTAAGACCTGCCAATACTTAGCCATATTTGTTTGACAATGTACCTGGTACTCTGCAGTCCTCAAAGATGAGTTCTGATGTGTTGGATCCCCTCATCCCGAGCTTGTCTAGCTTGAGGCCTGTACTGAAACCAGGCATACCCTACAGTGGAAAACAAGATGTCTGGTTTGGTGTGTTTTATGTTCTGTTTTAACAGCTATGGTCATTAAAGAACATGCCAGGCTGTGGTAGTAGAGGAAAACCAGAGTACCTGGAGAAAAAAACACCAACCGTTCGACCAGTACAGTTCACTTCACTTAATGTCACGTCACTTACTGTCACTTTTCTGTTATTACCATGGGTTTTTATACCGTTTTTCCTGCTATATATTCTATGTAATTCAATTCTTGTAGAATAAAACAAAACCCATAGGTCCTAATTGCTCATATATATTTTTCTTAAAGATTTCTTATTCCTGTTCTCCAGCCATGGAATATCAATAGGAAGAATAGAAGTGAGGCATACAAATCAGTACAGACTATCAATGCATTGCCTCATTCTATATACGGTTGTCTATATATTATATCATTACACTCAACACTGTCAGCTTACCTTTTCTATAAGAAAAGCTGTGATACCATGCTGGGGTTTTTCTGTCTTTAAATCAGTTTTGGCATAAACAACCAATACATCAGCATCAGGTCCATTTGTGATCCAAAACTTGTTTCCATTCAATACATAGTGATCACCTACAAGAACAGAAGATTTACAAAATAATAACTGATACCCTCCCAGTACTATGATAACCTCCCCCTACATACTATGTACTATAACCACACCCTCCCCAGCCAATACTATTATAACCCTCCCTTCCTACTATTTACTACATTGTAAAACCACACCTTCCTCACCCAGTAATGTGATGTAGTCATTAGTGGTGTGACACCTTAAAAAGTTAGTATCTGTACTTTGCTAGAGTTAAGTCCCTTGTGGAGCTCTTGTGTTAGGAGGGAAAACTTGTCGTTTTTAAAAGCTTAAAGTGTGGGCGAGTTCCGCACAATTGGGTGCCGGCTGCAGGTAATGACGGTGGTGGAAGGGTGTCTGGATCCCGGACTCGTTGTTGGTCCCGGAGCGGGATTTCAAACTTTCTATGGCTGTAGATGAAGGTAAGCTGCTGTGTTGCTTCATTTATAGAGTTTTGAATTTCGAGTAAATGGTTTATAGGTTTGTTATTTGTAAACCTTTGAAAACCTTGTGGTTGTTATAGTTTGTATGTAAAATGGTCACCCATGCAGAAGTCGATACAAGGTGAATATTTTGTTGTTGCAGGTTATTTTTGTAAATGGCCGAGTATTCAGTTGACGGTGATGGCAGGGCTTGACGTCTACTATACAATTGATATATGGGCATGCAGTGTTGGTGCCTACAGTTTAGGTGCCGCCCGGATATGCAACATGGTGGTCATGTTGCAGAGTTAGTGCCTTGAGGTGGAGGTCACGTGCAGGATTCGGTTTCAATCAGGACCATGTGATAGAATCCTATTGAGGTCACTGGGTACCGGAAGTGATGTGGCAGGTGGACATAGTGAAGTATTGTGTGTACCACAGTTGGGGTATAATAGTCCGGTGTCTATTATAAACTGATTTATGGAAGTAATAGGTATGTATATATATATATCAGTAAGCCACTGTAAACCTACTGACACACACCAGTATCTCCTCCCATCCAGTTGTCACCCCTCGCACACCACGAGAAGATCTTTCAATACCTGTAACAAGAAGGTGTGCAAACTGTGTCCATACACGCGCTCCACAGATATATTTCAATGTACAATCAACGGCAAAGTGTATCACATACTACAAACGCTGACATGCACATCAGTCAATGTGGTGTACCTTATTACCTGCAATAAATGCAAGTTACAGTACATGGGCAAGACCTGCACCCAGCTCAATGTCAGGATCAACAACCACCACTGCTCCATCAAGCAGAACAAACCAGACTTCCCTGTGGCAAGGCATTTTAATATGCCTAGCCATAGTTGGAAAGACATGCAGGTTGTTGCCATAGATCATTGCCCTACATGGGATGAAACGAGACGATGTACGAGAGAACGGTTTTGGATCACCAATCTACAAACCCGCTACCCTCGAGGTATGAACGAACGATAGGCGGTAGCCATCCGCTCGTTTTTCTTCCAGGGGGCATTTGATCTAATGATGCATTACTGCACAGTTGGTCTGCTATCTCGCCTGCCTGCTGCTTCATGTCAGTGTGTGTAACCAACAGCCGTTGTCAGATTAATTTTGCAGATTTATACAGTATCTTAGCCATTTCATCTACTTATTCCTCCTGCACTCACTTATTTGATAATTACTTGCATAATTCCTGCAAACCAAAAGAGGCACATGCATTATTCTTGCAACCCATAAGAAGCGACTAAGTGTGGACCCCCTGCTACGACTGTTAGATCCATCGCAGTATTGAGAGGCGACTAATGAGACATTCCGTAGCAAATTGGAGATTTTTCACATTTACCCGGCCAGATTTCCACATGCACATGTTCCGTGTTTTGATATCTCTCGTTGACTCACTTTATATGATAGTGCATCTTGCGCAAGAATAGGTCCTCTACATCAGCATTCCTTGTCCGCCATGCTCTCAGCTTAATTGCTGCCTTCGGCTGTCTTTAGCCGAGGGGACTATTGGTTTTATATAATAGCTATATTTCAATTATAGTATATCAATTTTCTTGTAATATGATGTATATGTACATGTAACTGTTCTGTTTCACTGTGTCTTGATAAAGGAGCAGATCGCTCTGAAAATTTGACAACCTAAACTTGTCCACACTGTTGGAATTACTTCTTTGCCCCATATGTCAGTAAGGTAATACTGGGTATATATTAAGCTGTAATAGAATTATACTGTATTTAATAGTGAATTAACCCAATGAGGTGTACGTAAACATTATGAAGAGAACCGTACTAGTAGTGATACAGCGAAGAGAACTTTGTGTGTTGAATAGTACCCTAGTACAGTGTTGTTTATACTTACTGAACTTTATCTAACCAAGTGGCTGGACATTGCAGATGTTGTGGAGATAATTGACTCTACAGTTTATAATAATGAACATTATTTACCAAAGTTAACCTATCTAGGTTGTCTGTTGTTCTATATATATATATGTTCATGTATAGGCTAGGTCTACTGTCAATATACAGAGTATACAGTTTAGTATCTAGTACTTCTACATATTTCATAAAGTATATCTGTATTTACCGTGAGTGAGTGGGTATGTGTGGTAATTGTAATATGTAATACTCTTAGGTAATTTAATTGTATGTTGAACTCAGTATCTTTGTTTGCTTTATATTATCAGACTACAGTCCTTCCTGACAAGAACTATCATAACCTCCCCCTCCCCACCAAGGACTATGATAACCTCCCATCCCACTATTTTAACCTCCCCCTCCCCACCCTGTACTATGTTACCCTCCCCTCCCACTATTATAACCTCCCCCTCTCCACCCTGTACTATGATAACCTCCCCTCCCACTATTTAATGATTATAACCTCCCCCTCCCCACCCAGTACTATGAGAACCCCCCTCCCCACCCTGTACTATGTTACCCTCCCCTCCCACTATTATAACCTCCCCCTCTCCACCCTGTACTATGATAACCACCCTGTACTATGATACCCTCCCCTCCCCCCCCTCTACAATAACCTCCCCTCCCCCCCCCGTACTATGATAACCTTTCCTCCCCACCCTGTACTATGATAACCTCCCCTCCCCCATCTCTACAATAACCTCCCCTCCCCCCCCTGTACTATGATACCCTCCCCTCCCACTATTTAATGATTATAACCTCCCCCTCCCCACCCAGTACTATGATACCCCTTCACACCCAGTACTATAATAACATCCCCCTCCCCACCCTGTACTATGTTACCCTCCCCTCCCACTATTATAACCTCCCCCTCCCCACCCAGTACTATGATAACCCTTCACACCCAGTACTATAATAACATCCCCCTCCCCACCCTGTACTATGTTACCCTCCCCTCCCACTATTATAACCTCCCCCTCTCCACCCTGTACTATGATAACCTCACCCTCCCAACCCTGTACTATGATAACCCCCCTCCCCACCCTGTACTATGATAACCCCCTCCCTACCCAGTACAATAATAACCTCCCCCTCCCACCCTGTACTATGATAACCTTTCCTCCCCACCCTGTACTATGATAACCCCTCCCCCTCCTGTACTATGATAACCCCCTCCCTCCCCCCTACAATAATAACCTCCCCTCCCCACCCTTTACTATAATAACCTCCCCTCCCCCCCCTGTACTATGATAACCTCCCCTCCCCCATCTCTACAATAACCTCCCCTCCCCGCCCTGTACTATGATAACCTTTCCTCCCAACCCTTTACTATGATAACCTCACCCTCCCAAGCCTGTACTATGATAACCTCCTCCCTCCCCACCCAGTACTATGATACCCCTTCACACCCAGTACTATAATAACATCCCCCTCCCCACCCTGTACTATGTTACCCTCCCCTCCCACTATTATAACCTCCCCCTCCCCACCCAGTACTATGGTAACCCTTCACACCCAGTACTATAATAACCTCCCCTCCCCACCCCGTACTATGATAACCTCACCCTCCCAAGCCTGTACTATGATAACCTCCTCCCTCCCCACCCAGTACTATGATACCCCTTCACACCCAGTACTATAATAACATCCCCCTCCCCACCCTGTACTATGTTACCCTCCCCTCCCACTATTATAACCTCCCCCTCTCCACCCTGTACTATGATAACCACCCTGTACTATGATAACCCCCCTCCCCACCCTGTACTATGATAACCCCTCCCCCTCCTGTACTATTATAACCCCCTCCCCCTCCTGTACTATGATAACCCCCTCCCTCCCCCCTACAATAATAACCTCCCCTCCCCACCCTCTACTTTGATAACCTTTCCTCCCAACCCCGTACTATGATAACCTCACCCTCCCAAGCCTGTACTATGATAACCTCCTCCCTCCCCACCCAGTACTATGATAACCCTTCACACCCAGTACTATAATAACCTCCCCCTCCCCACCCTGTACTATGATAACCTTTCCTCCCCACCCCGTACTATGATAACCTCCCCTCCCTACCCACTACTATAACCTCCCCCTCCCCACCCAGTACTATGGTAACCCTTCACACCCAGTACTATAATAACCTCCCCTTCCCACCCTCTACAATAACCTCCCCTCCCCACCCCGTACTATGATAACCTCACCCTCCCAACCCTGTACTATGATAACCTCCCCCCCACCAAGTACTATGATAACCCCCCTCCCCACCCTGTACTATGATAACCCCCTCCCCACCCTGTACTATGTTACCCTCCCCTCCCACTATTATAACCTCCCCCTCCCCACCCAGTACTATGGTAACCCTTCACACCCAGTACTATAATAACCTCCCCCTCCCCACCCTGTACTATGATAACCTCCCCCCCACCAAGTACTATGATAACCCCCCTCCCCACCCTCTAAAATAACCTCCCAAAATCCCCATCCTGTACTATGATAACCCCCTCCCCCTCCTGTACCATGATAACCCCCTCCCCACCCTGTACTATGATAACCCCCTCCCTACCCAGTACAATAATAACCTCCCCTCCCCACCCTGTACTATGATAACCTCCCCTCCCCAATCTCTACAATAACCTCCCCTCCCCACCCTGTACTATGATAACCTTTCCTCCCAACCCTGTACTATGATAACCTCACCCTCCCAACCCTGTACTATGATAACCTCCTCCCTCCCTACCCATCACTTTAACCTCCCCCTTCCGACCCATTACTATGATAACCTCCCCTCCACATCCATTACTATGATAACCTCCCCTCCCCATCCAGTACTATGATACCCTCCCCTCTTCACCCTGTACTATGATAACCACCCTGTACTATGATAACCTCCCCTCCCCACACTGTACTATGATAACCTCCCCTCCCCACCCAGTACTATGATAACCTTCCCCTCCCCTCTCAGTTCTACAATAGAACATCCCAGTACAATACCCAATAGGTCTGTTTAGTGGACCTTAATATGGAAGTCAAAGAAGTCAGTACTTGCTTTCGATATTATCTGCAATTTTTTTTTAAACATGAATATATTTAATCTTTTCATATCAAAAGATAATTGAATAATTCACAGAATTAAACATTACCATCTTTTTCAGCTTTGAGTTTCATGGATACCACATCAGATCCTGAGCCAGGTTCACTCATGGCCAGAGCACCTACTTTCTCCCCTGTGATCAGCTACAAAGTAGAGGTCAGGTAGAATATCAACATTTGAATAGAAAACATTATATAACCATTTAAAAACAATTATCACCTATATATATATATATAGCTACATATCTACAATTACTGATAAATATCAAACAACACTGTACCTGTGGCAGATATTTCTGTTTCTGTTCCTCTGTACCGTTCCTCACTAATTGGTTTACACACAGGTTGGAGTGAGCTCCGTAACTAAGTGCGATGGCTGCAGAAGCACGGGACATCTCCTCCATTACGAGTACATGATCCATGTATGACATCTCTGAACCTCCATACTGAGCTGAAGATACATTGAATATTTTACTGATACTTTCACATGTACCTCGTAAATAATACTGTTAAACTGGTTTACTACTAGTGACATCAGTTTTGAGTGTGAAGCCATGCACTACGTACATGATGTATAAATGAACAAAAAGCTGTCTTTCTTAAGATAGTCCTTACAGTGGTATAACCAAAGACAGGAAGTACAGGGGTATTTCACATGTGTCATTGGGTGGAATTCAGATCCTGAAGTTCACAACTACCATCCCCTAATCAAACACTTATCAATGAAATCATAAAATTTTAATCAGATAAACAGATTTGCATACAACTCTCAAAATGTTATGAGGAAGACTGTCATACGATCTTAGTTTTGTTTTACCTGGAGCAGTAATTCCCAAAAGTCCAAGTTTGCCACATTCCAACCAGAAGTTCTGAAACATATGTTTGGTGATATAGATGCATGAAAAAGTAAGATGTCCATTATTGTATACAACCTTATTCCTATATAGCTACTATGACATCAGATTGGTTATAACATTTCATTGAAGTTGATCAGGATTATTTACCTAATCAAGCATATATATAGAATTAATAAATCATGCTTAAAGTTGTATCATAATTATATGTAGCAGGACTGGACATGGTCGATCACCAGTGACCAGCTGGCTCATTTGACTACAGCATTGGTCCGAGTTCGGAGGTACAATGTTTGAATCCCAGTCTGGCTGTACATTTTCATCTCCTACTACACATTATACCTTTAAGTGTTTGTTTGAAACTTTCATGAGGAAGTAGATGTACTTACCTTGATGTCTTTGAATTCATTTAGCTTGTCGATTTCAGCAGCTTTTGGTGCTAACTCCTTTTGACAAAATTGGAACACGGATTCTCTCAACTACAATGATAAACGAACCACAATCCTTTTTAATATGTCACCATCATAGAACATAGAATTCAACCCAGCTGCATGTGTAGATTTGTTCTTTTACAAATAATGCATGGATAACTAAAACCACTTATTACAGCTCACAAATTTATACCCTCTAAGCTGATCCTGAGTACCCATCTAATGATATACATACAGTCTACTCTAGCCATGATACTCATATGTGATACTTGATTAACTTATGTTCATTGGTTTTATTTTTCTGTTGTCTATCATGAAACCACATTAAATTTACACTGAAATTGACCAGTAATAATACATCATGGGAAAATTTTATGACGGTAAGTTAGTGGCAAGCATACAAGCTTTCGGCACAAAAAAATTAAATCATGATGAGGTATTTTCGGATGATCCATTTCCATGCTGTAAAGTACCTGTTTCTGTGCATCTCTAGGAGCATATATATATACGATACCACACATTTATTGACATCATCAGCTTTTGGGTAGTGAAGTAAATACTTATTTAATGTCCACAAGATCATTGAAGAATGACTTGAAAACAAGTACAATTCACATTATTTTACTCAAATACATATGCAAAAGTAACTTTTTACTATTACCTTTTTATTAGGTTACCATGCAACAGAAACAAACAGTAAGAAAAGGTAACTTTTAATGTAAATCCCAAGATATTATTTTAATGAGACCACTGAGGAGGGCAAAGGGTTAAAGGTCAGTGGGGCGCGTCTAATTACCCAATACTACCCAATACCACCCAATACTACCCAATACCACCCAATTCTACCCAATACTACCCCATACTATCCAGTTATGAACCAAATACTTCTTTATTACTGTGAAATATCACCTTTGTAGACGTTATTTACTTCCATCTGCCATATTTTATCGGGAAATATGCGATTTGGTGCCGAAAACATCACCGAATTGCCGTGACTATGACCCAATACTACCCNAGCATACAAGCTTTCGGCACAAAAAATTTAAATCATGATGAGGTATTTTCGGATGATCCATTTCCATGCTGTAAAGTACCTGTTTCTGTGCATCTCTAGGAGCATATATATATACTTTACCACACATTTATTGACATCATCAGCTTTTGGGTAGTGAAGTAAATACTTATTTAATGTCCACAAGATCATTGAAGAATGACTTGAAAACAAGTACAATTCACATTATTTTACTCAAATACATATACAAAAGTAACTTTTTACTATTAACTTTTTATTAGGTTACCATGCAACAGAAACAAACAGTAAGAAAAGGTAAATTTTAATGTAAATCCCAAGATATTATTTTAATGAGACCACTGAGGAGGGCAAAGGGTTAAAGGTCAGTGTCCGTGTTACCCCTCCATTTAACTTATATCACACTGTTGTATTCTCTATTGTTTTATTCAGTAATTTCTCATTTGAGGCCCCGAAACTGGTCACTTAGCTGTACAGGTACTTCACCTGTTCACAGGGCAAAGGGCAAGTTTCTGAAGGTTATTCAGTTTGTACCTGTTTTTCTTCACTGTTCAATCCAAATAAGTTATCATTGATTGGGTAATATGAACACGGTCTTTTTGGAGTCAAGCGAGTGTGGTTTGTTCTGAGGACTGATCTTGCACAGAGACATCCATATCTTCGAAGTGCCATCGTCGTGGGTCGGAGAAACTGTTTGGGTGACAACAGGAAGTGGAAAAGAATTCAAGGCTACATTCGCGTATCCCGGTTGAAACGGTACGTGTGGCGCAGAAATTTTCCACGATAAACAAACACCCTTGCGCCGTTCTATAAGCAGAGCTAAAAATCCACAGTTTCGGAGAATAAAAAACAATGTATCAAGAATATTATGCCCTTCTCTAACGCGTCCACTAAATTACATAACGTATCTTAAAAATTACATGTGCCTTGACATTGTTTAAGAAAGAAATAACGCAACTTGGCAATAGTCAGCATTTTAGTTTCGGTCAGGTACCAAATTTTCCTGAGGTCAGCCTCGGTTCAAATCTGTACCTGTCGTTTTCTTTACAGGTTCAACCGTTTCAACCGGATACGCGAATGTAGCCCAAGGATCAGTGGGTCCAACAATTTACAGGACCGGGTGGAATCGGACAGGATCGTACAAATTGTCGGTAAACACAAATTAAAAAAATTAAAAGAATACTAAATATATATAAAATATGCAGCATAAAGAAGAAAGAATGAACCTTTTTGTTATCACAGACAAACTGGTTCGTCTATTACCAGCTACATATTTAAAAATAAATAAATTATTTTGACCGGTAACATATCCGGATTGTAGTTGTTACCTTTAAAAAACCTTATATAACTCTTCAGTTTCGAAGGTAGAATAGTCACGAAAAACAAAACGGGCATTGGGAGACAGAAAGCGGTAATATGTAAGTTTAGAGTTGAATAGCCAGAAAACTCAGCTCTGTGTGTTAAGCAGATTTGTGTTATTGTGAATATAATGTTTGGATTATTTAGAAAGAGGATATGCCGTATGCTGTCAATGTTTGCGGTGCACGGATATCAAATGTGATGAGATGAACAATTTTGGGAGAGAAAAAATATATACAAAAAGTGTCCCGATTTGATTTTGATACATTAGCGTTGTACTGTACTTACAGTACCTGTATCTGTATCTTTATATTACTGGAAGACCTCAAATTTGAGTATAAATTCCAGGGTTGGAGAAGTGCGCTTTTAGTTTATATTGTTTCAGTTTTTGCTGTCATGAAGCTAAGTTCTTGCATTTTGACGAGGTCTTCTGGTAGGTTATTCCACTCTGTTGTTGTTCGAGGAAAGAATGATTTTTTCAATATGTCCGTATTACACTGGAAATGACGGTAATTTTCACTATTTTTTTTTTATCTGATACGGGTGTTTGATGAAGTCAATATGTGATCTACAGGTATGGCCACTAGCCCCTTCACGATCTTATAAAAAAGGGCAAGGCGATGGTCTCGCCTGCGATCCTTTAGTGGTGTTAATTTTAGAGTGTCCATCATTTCTGTTACACTGCTGTCCCTTCTATAGTTTGATGTTACAAATCGGGTAGCGCGGCGTTGTACTTTTTCCAGCGAGTGAATGTCGTTTTGTTGGTAAGGGTCCCATATCGTGCAGCTGTATTCCAGGACGGATCTCACCAACGATTTGTATGCAGTCAGTTTCAGTGACGTTGGGCACTGTCGCAGGTTTCATCTTAGGAATCCGAGAGTGGAATTTGCCTTGTTGGTTGTGTTACGGATATGAGAGTCCCACTTCATGGAGTTGTGAATGGTTACTCCCAAGTATGGATTTTCTTCCACTTCTTTGAGTAATTGGCCCGACAGATGGTAGTTGTGGGCACTAGGCGACTTGGATCTTAATGTTCTCAGGATATAACATTTCAACATGTTGAAAGACATACCCCATTTTGTTGCCCATTCTTCCAAGGACTTGAGGTCTTTTTGGAGGTCCAGGTGGTCTTGGAGGCATCAAATTGGACGGTATAGCAGACAATCATCAGCGAATAGACGTACAGTAGATGTTATGCAGTCGGGCAAGTCATTGATGTGGCAGAGGAAGAGTATAGGTCCCAGGACCGTCCCCTGGGGAACTCCTGAATCTACCTTCACTTGTGTTGAATGGCTGCCATCTACAAGTTGGGTCCGTGATGTCAGGAAGGCCTTGATCCATTGTAGGATGTTGGGGTTCACACCGAAATTATCTACTTTGTACAGGAGTTTTGAATGGGGAACCTTGTCGAAGGCCTTACTGAAATCCAGGATGGCAGTGTCCACTTGTAGCTTCCTGTCGTATATGCTGGTGATGTCATAGGTGGTGATCAGCAGCTGGGATTCACAGGAGTGTCCTAACCTGAAGCCATGTTGTAGATGTGTCAGTATGTTGTATTCCTCGAGATGGTTCCTGAGGTGGCGGCAGATAATATGCTCAACCAGTTTACAACACATACGTGAGCGACACTGGCCTGTAGTTTCTGGGTTAATGGCGATTACCCTTCTTAAAGATTGGTGTAATGTTGGCATTACTCCAGTCATCAGGGAGTTCACCAGTCAGAATCGATTGTTGGGATATATGAGTCATTGCCGGGGCAAGTTCGATTGAGCACTGTTGAAGGACACGATTTGGAAGGTTGTCTGGACCGCTAGCCATACTGACATCGATTTCGCGGATCAACTTCTCAACTCCCTTCTCATCTATAGTGAGGTTCCTCATGATGGGATACTTGGGTGTGGTGAGAGGTGGGAGATCCGGATTGGGGGGTTCTTTTGTGAACACCGACTGAAACTGTCGATTTAGGGCCTCCGCCTTGTCTGTACTGGCGGTGAGTAGTTTGTTACCCTCTTTCAGTGGAGCAATTCAGATGTTGTCCTGCTTCCTGGCCTTGATGTTTTGCCAGAAGGGTTTGTTGTTTTTCTGCTCAATTCCTGCCTGCAGTGTACGCTCTAAGTAGGACCATTCTGTGGTTCGGAGAGCCTTTTGGGTTTTCCTTTTGTGGACTCTGTACGCACGCCAGTCAGCATCCTTTCCACTTTTCCTAGCCTTGTTGTAGAGGCGATGTTTCCTCTTTATGAGGCGGCGTTCTGGTCTGCCAACCCATGGTAGCTGATTTGGTTTCGTGGAGGTCAATTTGGATGGAATGCGCTCGTCGATGATGGAATTTAAGCCGTTTTTGAATTTCGTCCAGTTTTCCTCAACCGAGTCACTAGAATTAGTGATTGTGTCACTGAGGTTGGTCGCATCCTCCCTAACAGCCATCCAGTCAACATTCTTGTACATCAGTACTTTACGCGGCTTCTTGTGGTACACAGGTTTGATGTCCTCGTCTATTGTTATCATATCATGGTCTGATATACCGGGGATTGTCAGTCACTAGAATTAGTAGCATTGTACTGTACTCTATAACGGGTTTGTATCATTCCTCATTTGAGTGACAGGATGCTCTCGTTTGAACTCCCGTGGTTGACAACTTAATCTCATCAGTAATTAATATTAATCAGTTAATTAATTTATGAAGCCATTGAATGCTTGTCGTCATAGCCACTAGTCTTTATAGCACATTATCGTGGACTGTTACTGTTACTGATACGATCCAAAATAATTGAAATGTATAACGTTCACAATAATACAGGTCCAGTACACTCTGCCGATTGAGCTATATATATAATAGCTCTATTGACCTATCTGAAATAGGTCTTTTGAGCTATTTTCAAGTGATTTTCTTTTTTAAGGATAACAAAACAAAGTCGCTTTTAAAAGAGGATTGTATCTTTAGGTTGATAACAAAAGACATTAAATATAAGTGTTCTTTTCAAAAAATGATGTAAATTTTACATTTATGAAAAATGAAAATAAACATCTAGCTGTATGCTTTTTGTAGTCACCATTACCAAAAACCTTATTGTTTTATGCGACTTTGCTTTAATTTAATGAAAATTGAAATATGAGAAAATATAGCTCAATACAGCTATAATTTATAGGTGTATATAGCTATATAGGTCTTTATAGCTATATAGCTCAATCGGCAGAGTGTACTGGACCTGTAATATATAAGAATATTTCAAGTTTTGTGTCCACTTCATAAAATAGAGTTTCCTATGGCTGTGACACCAGACTTTAACATTTTGACAGATGTATGACTTGTTTAGGGCCAAAACCATCCTTATTATCACCAACTACTGCTAGATGTCATCAGCAGAGTTCTTGGTATTCAATCATTCAAAATTTTTCACCTTGCTAAGCGAGCCGACACCATTTTGTAGACTATGCAAATTTAATACACAAGAGTGACTAATCAACTGTAGCAGGAACACGTTTATTCCTTCTAGGTATACTCCGCTTCAGATGTATTATAAAGGGTGATGGTAAGGTGTACCATATCCTGGCCTTTTTGAAAGTGAAAGTGAAAACGATTAGGATATAAACAAAGATCATAAACAATTGTTTTTTGCCAAACATTGCATTTAAATCATCATAAATAATAGTCATTACCGCACAGTCATATCAAGGAGAGGGTCAACAAAGAAGCAGGGTCAAGATGATGAAGGATGAGATTTAAAGATGAGAGAGTCTTTAAATTGTGACTGGGATGCTGTTTTGCTCACTGATGAATTATCAGGCCCGGATGAAATCCTCGAAGCATTCATGGACAGATTTAATGAAGCAAAGGAGAAGTGTGTACCACGTATAAACAGTAAAGCAAACAAAAAGGCCAAGAAACAATTATCTACCACTCGATGAAAAAACGCCGTTAATGGTAAAGATATATGGAAACAAAGGATGGGAAGAAATACCAGGAGTATGTGCGAGTCAGGAATCAAGTGAAAGGACTATCTAGAAATGCGAAAAGGGACATTGCGAAAAATGTGAAGGAAAACCCAAAATACGCAAACTAGAAACGAACAGTAAAAACAGGCATATCAGAGCTAAGTACATAGCGGAGAATGGAGAAACTAAATTGAGTCAGGAGGAAAAGAAAAAGCAGAAGTAGTAGCCAATTTCTACAGCAGTGTTTTCACCAAGGAACCAGATAGTGAATTACCACCGATAGACAAAGTACAGTTTGAGCATTAGCTTGTGGATAGAAAATTTCATGCAGAGGAAATTAGGAAGTTACTAAGTTCAATGCATCACTCGAGTCGGGGAAAAGTACCAGATATTGGAAGCTTGGCAACATAGTGGCACTGTACAAGAACGGGGACAAATCGGATCCAAGTAACTACAGACCGGTGAGCTTGACAAGTGTTGTGTGTAAGCTAATGGAGAGATT